GCCACACTCTCAGAAACAGACGCAATATTCTCTTCTGTACGCACTGTACGCATTCGTGTGGTTGGTTTAATGTCCAATAAAGTAAACTGAGTGCGAAACTTGGTCACAATCGCATTAATTGTTTGCTCACTTGGTCGATTATGTAGACCATAAATCGGACGTAAAGCGCGAAACACATTTCGAACCGAACACTGATTTTGGTAATAAAATTCAATGATTTGCAAGCGTTGCTCGTTAGTAAGTCTATTCATGATGAAATGTCAAAGCATACTGAGCATCTTTCTCTTTGACACCATGTCTGATATCCCACGTGATCTGTCAAATACTAATGCATGAAAATCCTAACCTCAAAAAAATCACCCGATATTTTTATAACATCAGAAAATAGATAATTTAACGAGCATACCACTGATTTTTAAAAAAATATTATATTTTTTTCGTTAGTATTTTCTTTCGAAAATTAGAATTTTACATTAACCATTTTTAATCCTTAAAAATTCAACCCATCCACTTCCCGACCTTAGATCGCCAGTAAATAATATTTCCTTTAATTTTTCAATTGGTTTTGCATTTTTTTCACTTGTTACCATTTTCGAAATATTTCGATATCTTAAATAGATTATACATTTTCGATTTAAAATTTTTTGCAAATGGTAAAAATTGAATGCAATTCATAATAAATAATTAATAGATAATACATACATTTTCGATTTCGAACTTTCGAAAATAGTAAAAAGTGAAAGGGATTCATAATAGATTGAAAAATTCGAAATCGTAAATAGACTATCGAAACCGAAAATGTCGAAGAATGAAAAAAAAAATGAAAAATAATAAATATAGTTTATTTCGATTCGGTTCGATTTCGAATTTTTCGAAAATGTTAAAAAGTGAAAGAAATTCGTAAGAAATTGAAAAACTAAAGGAAATATAAAGTTATTCGAAAATTTTAAACGAGTGTTTCTCTCACTGAATACTATTTCAGTCGCCATCGTATCTAGCCAACGCTTCGACCAATTCACTTTCAGTTTTTAAGTCAACGATCTGACATTTTCACACGTCATTTGTATATAACTGTCGTACAAACTGATACATTTAAATCAAGTCTTTGTAAAACTTTTTTATTTGAGAAGATATTCTCTCGAAATTTGGTGTAGAATATTGAGCAAGACAAGGCTATGATAACCAAAAATATTGTTTGAATCGGATTACTATAACGTAAAAGTGTCACACAAACTGAACAATCAATATCAAGATTATACCTTTTCAAACTATAACAAATATTCCTGCGAAGGCTATTATAGCATCGGTGCAGTGGAAGTTAACGTTTCTTCTGTTTTTTTTGTTTTTTTTTTGTGTTAAACCAATTAGTTTGCGTCATGAAGGCAGTTCCTTTAGACAACATATTTCTAAGCCGCACAGCTCAGACTCATACCACTAGATTCAACCCAAAAACACCTTAACCGTTTTTAGTAAGAAATGCCGAAATTAAATTAAGAAAATGTAGCGTTCAGTCATCAAAAAGGTAATTTTATGGCTTTAACTTCTAATTAGCAAGATAATACCACCTTTATAGGCACACAAACAAACAAACCTAATATTCTCCTAAGCATATACTTACGCCAAAATCACCAAATTGAACATTAACCAACCAAACATTGACCAGAAGTAAACATTAACCAATTGTGGCCCGTACATGGGTAGGCAGAAACAATAGCAAAGTTGATGATGAAGGAAAGAGGATAGCAGCGAAAAGCGTAGCAAAAAGGGAGGCAAAAACTCACAGTGCCACAGTCACATTCCTACACATACTGTTTAAGTCCTTAATTGTTGGTTGTTAACTTGTTGTGTAAACATGTTAATTAAACTAAAACAATTACAGCTATGAACTTGACTTGTACAATGAAAACATCGCACGTTTAGTATCACGCTTTGATTGGGAGTTGGTGGTACGTACTTATTGTGATTGACCATTTATTGTTTCAACGCGAATCTTTACACAAACGGATAAAATTTACGTGGAAATTGAAAAATATGTATATGATGCTATTATTGATTATATTCACACGTGTTGCAGTAAAATAAATCCTTGGCTGCAAATAAATTGTGACGAGTTTAAGTAAAGATTTTACATGTGGTTTGATTATGAAATGGAGACTTACAATGACAGCCTAAAAAACGTCGATTTTTGGGTGTTAAATAAATGCTCTATCCATTGTTTTAAAATATTCAAGTTATATTTGTACATGTTTCAAAAGCACAAAGTGAACTTAAAAAAAAGTTAAAAATTTTTTGAGTTATAAGAAATCTCCGACACCGCTAAAAACAAACGATTCTCCACCGCTGCAATGATTCCGGCCTTCTCTGTGAAAAGCATCAACTAATTTATTGAGTTGAATTCGTAACAAAAGAGTTGGTGTATACCTAGTAAAGGGCTATAACCACTATCTACAATACTATATTTTTATATTCTTACAACATATTGCTACATAGCTCTTTCATCTAACGGTATCACTAACAACCAAGCGAGATAAGGTTATGTACATATAAATGATCAAGATGACAAGAGAGACGAATTGAAATGCGGGAGACTACCTGTCTGTCCGTCCATCAGTTCGTACGTCCAACACCAAAGCCTAACAAATTTAATGTTCATATCTCTTAAACTACTTGAGATACAACAACCAAATGCAGATATTTTAAATATTATAGGAAGTCCGATTGACAGTTTGTAAATGGATGCCATCGGATGGTAGCTCCTCTCACTCTCCATGTAACAGTACTGTTAAAAACTACTAAAAGCTCGATAAATCAATTACTAATTACACCAAAGGCATTCAGTTTCACACCAGCGTGGTATGAGCGGGCTTTAGGCAAGTCAGGGTCTAAGTTGAACGATGTGTATGACACCGCCAAATCACATATCTCGAGACCCGTCGTACCGATAAAATTTGGTGTGTAGCATTCTCCTGATATTTTTATGTTACAGCGTGAAAATGAGTGAAATCGAACTACAAATACGCCTACTTCCCACATAACACAATTTTACGTTCATCTGATTCTTTCCTTTCGAGATTACAAATCAAATAACATTTATAATAACGAGATAAAACTTTACACGAATAATACTTTCAGAGTATGGTATAACAATTTATGGCTAAAAATTGTCCACATCCAACAAAAACTGTGCAAGACCGTAGGTACCAAATATTTAGCCCCCAACTACCTATAGTTGACTTTTAACCGAAAATATTGGTGAATTCTTAGAATATAATTGAAATTCAGAGAGAAACCTTTCCTGAAAATAGTATGTTTGTGTATCACAAATGGATCGAATCGGGTCAATACTTCCTTGAGCCCTCATATTCCTAATACAAAGATTTTCGAAGTCCCTGGTGACTTTATATCGGCCAATGTCTGAGTTATCTTAATAAAATTAAGAGAGCAAGTTTTTCTTATAACGGTGCTTATATGTGCTTAGAACAAAATCGTGTGAAAACTCTTCCTAGGCGTCTTATAACTAACAGGCCTTATGTAACTGTGGCTACTTCCCTGGCTCTATTGCCAGTGTTTGAAATGTTCAGTTATGGCCGAACTTAGCTCACCCTTACTTGTTTACTACACAGTTTAGATTAGTTTTACTGTAAAGCAATTTTTTTTTTTATTGATTTTCAAAGTTTCATAAAACGCCCGAGCCTCTGACTCTAAATTAAGAGCTTACAAAATTGTCAATAAACATGTTGATGCAACCAACGTAGTTTGTTCGATTCATTACACTCCTACTGTGGCCGAAACGAAGATAGCATAAGCAATCAGTCTTCGTACGTTTTTTCATATTGTTGCTATTAATCATTTGTACTCAATGCTATATTGCTATATTATGTTAAACCAATGGACAGAATTAAAAGCTCAATTGGCAACTGCCGCCTAGCAGGCCAACAATCATTAAAATCAAAACTTTATTGCAAAAATTAACCTAAAATTTGTTTAAAAAAAATGTGCATTAATGATAAAGATCAACACCTAAGATGGCTAAGTTCCGCTCAGCACAAAGACCAATTATAAATTGTAAACACAAAATACATGTGAAAACAAAGAAAATTATAAGTTATGAGCCACTTTCTTCTATCACAATGTGTATAAGAACAAAAAGTATTTTACCGTGAAATTAACGGCAAACACAGTCAGAAGACCGTGAACGCTGCCGCAGGCTCCATGTAAATATATATATAGAGACATATACCATTTATAATATGTGTTAATTTATGTATGTGTGACCACAGCCAGCTTAACCACATTCTCCAACCATAGGCACTAAACGCTTAGACAAGTAGAACCCCCACAGCATTTCACACTTCAACAAAACAGACTCTTCCGGCTCATTTATATTAATTACCATGACAACAATTTCGACAAGCAAGTGCGCATACGGCTAGAAGTGCTAAAGGGGTCAGTCGCACGATTGCTAAAAGACTAACGAGTCGCTCGTAGACTGACAGCGTAACGCTGAGGCAATTTAGGGTAGAACCCACTGTCAGCTTCCTTCAAAGATATTGAATTGGTTGAAAGGCAGAAAAACAATACAAATGCTCATACACAAAAACAGCAAAAAAAAGCATAGCAACGCTTAAAGCATGTTGTCAATAGCAGTCACCAGTTGCTTCTTACATACAAGCAAAATTAGTTAAGAAAATATTCGCATTTAAGAAAACAAATAGCGATAATAACACACACACATATATATGTATAATAATTGCATGTGTATAATATTTGCAAGTGCTCACTTTGACCTACACAAGCAAAAGCAGCTACAATGACGCACAGCCAAGTGGTGTATGTTCAGCGACTTTTCGCCTGGCTCCTGTCAATGGTGGCATCTGCTGGTTGGTGGTTTACATATGTATTTATGTGTGTGTGTTTATTTGTAATTTCACACGTATAATCGCGCTGCAAGGCAGACAAAATGTTAATTACCATTATAAATTCTTACTGACAACTTTCAGAACACACACTTTTCAACTTACCGACATCGGCAAGGCTAACCACAACAACAGCAACAATAACAATTTGAGCATCAACACTAATCCCTGACTGAAACCGAGGACGCAACGCTGGAAGGCAAGACCAGCCAAGTATTAAATATATAAAAATAAATAAAAGTCACATAGCGATCTCAGCCTAAAGCCACATAAATGCAGCGCAACGCGTTCGTCATGTATGCCTTGTCCGCAGCCGTTTTGCTGCTCGGAAACTGTTGGTATGCATACGCATATGTCGCTTTGCCAGCAGTGGCCGCCGCAACAGCCGGAGCCGGAGTCGGAGCCTCGGACGCCGGCGCAACAGACACGAAGACGTATGCCAAGCATATGGCAGAATTAATGACCGGCACATATCCTGATAGAGCCGCTGCTTCATCGGCGGGTTATTTGAACGATGTTGCCGGAAGTATTGCTGTGCAAGCACCGCACCAACTGCTGAATGAGCCTAACGGACGTGCTGCGGTTTACGATCCGGGTGATGGTGAGTTAAAACAAAATAGAATAGAAGAATATAAGTAAACATGAAACATATATATATATATATATATTGTAAATAAATATGTCAAGATTATTGGCTGAAGCTTGATCTTCTTGATGTTGTCGAGTTGCGTTGCTGATGTTTTTAGAAATAAATAAATGTTTTTTAAGTTCTCGTTCCTTCTAAATTTCTTTAAATAACACTCGAAATACCCTTGTCTCTTGATCCGAATATTTCAGGGGTCTTAACGAGAAAATAGTTTCAAAAATTATTGCATGCAAAAGTCTATTTAAAAAACTTGCCGGCAAGTAGTTACATAATTCCGGCTGGCTAGGTCATGTTGTCCGAATGGACGAAAACACTCCAGCTCTGATAGTATTCGAGGAAGATGAAGAGCTCCACTTTGTTGGAAGGACCAGGTGGACAAGGACCTGGCTACGCTCGGAACATCCAATTGGTGGCACGTAGCAAAAAGAAGAAACGACTGGCGCGCTGTTGTTAACTCGGCTATAATCGCGTAAGCGGTGTCTACGCCAATTAAGTAGAAGAAGAAGATCTCAGTTAAAGAAACCTTATTATTCTGGCAAGGCGAGTGCTCACAGCGAAGTATAAGTAAATTTATTTATACAGATAGCTAGACGGTTTTGATATGACTAAAATCTATTAGGGTTTCGTCAAAGTTAGTGAGAGAATGTCTTGGTAGTTCTAACATTATATTTCACGAAAAGCATGCAATAGGTTCCAGATAGAGATATTCGAGATATTCTTCGTAAGTGTGAAGCAAAGCAGGCACAACCCTACAATAAAACTCTGGAAAGGAGGAAATTTATATTCCTCTGGCTACCTGCAGGTAACTAAACGACAAACATATTATAAACAAAGTCTCGATGGAGTAAATGACTGACTGCCGCCTTGCTGAACTCACAGGCAAACGTGGCATGAAAGGACATGTGGGACGGCTATTAAAATTGAATGGAAATTATACATATAAGAGCTCCAGTATGGGTGCTAACAGGTTACTGTCTAATTGGCAGATATGCCAGCAGACTAGGAAGACCATATAACGATTATTATACAAGCTCTTAGGAGGAAGAAAAAAATTAAACTTAACACATTTTCATTACTCTGAAACCTCCCCTCCTCCTCTAAGAAAGTATCGTCAAGTAAGAGTTCTTAATTGTAATGGGAAAGGCCTCCGCCTACCTTTTTTATATTATTTTTTCTTTTTATCAGATATAAAAACGCTTATCTCTCTCCTAAGAACTTATTTTATAATTTTTTTATTAATTTTTTTTTTAGCCACCCCAATATATATAGTTATACCATGCACGTGTCCTTCAAGTAAATAAATAAAAACGAATATAATTTTTACTTGTGAACCCGCAGGCATAATGATAATGCTATTGATACTTGATATGCTTGCCAATCCAAACAACTATTTTTAAACACAACTTCAACATCAATGAATTCGAGGTTTTGTATTATTATTAGTTTTCTATTTGACTAGTTTATCAGCAACAATGGTTCTAATCATTTTTCATTGTCATGGAAGCAGAAAAAGTAATACAAATGTATTTGTATTGAAATCACTCAACACCAATGAATATTAATTTTACTGACCTCACTCATAAAGGTTATTTAAATGAGGATATTTTCAAATAAGTATGTGAGGTATTCAATTTAACGAAAGCACTTCTAGGGCAAAACCCATTTTGTTGATTCTCATTGTCATTGAATCACTGAGGTATAATGAGGTATAGTTGTGTAAGTAAAATTTACTTTACGTATATTTAATTCGAAAATCACTCATTCAAAAAATTGGAGTACTAACCAATTTACTATTGAATTGTGCAGTCATGTGCGAAGGGTTTTCATAAGAAAATATTGCACTTCAAATCAATAACATTATATAAATTATTAGTTTGGGAAAAAACCTGCAAGTAACCCTCAAAACCCAAATGAAAAGTGATATGAAAGCGTATTTTATCTCAGTAAACAATAACTTCAAAGTCAAAAGCTTAACAAGTGGTTTATTAAGTTGGGTATAAGCACATTGTTGCACTAAGCGGATAAACGTTCGTTTGGTTTTGAAATATTAGTTAAGTTCACACCTTCATCGATCAAGTGCTTTCAAATAAATTTTTTGTTTTTATGCAAAATATACCAGCTAAGAACGCAATTACAGTAATTTTAGACAAACATTCGCTTTCATAGAAATATTTAATACCTTGAGGGGCTTCCCGCCAGCAAAATGTAAACACTCAAGCACATTTTTCTTTGCCTGTATAAGATATTCCAAACATATCAAAATCAATAGTACATTGACTCAATGAATGGCAAACACAAGTCAAAATGTACATATGCAGAAAGTGTTCTCGTATTTTTTATTTTTATTTTTATTTGTTGTATTTTAATGTTTGTAATGTTTGTTACGAAAGCAGTGATTGTTTGTTTATTTGCAATAATTTTTGTGTATTTAGTTGAATACCTAAAACTTCGTTAAACAACTAAAACTAAATACACGAAAATTATTGAAATTTGCAGTATTTCCTCTTTTCGTTATAATTCGAAAACAATCTCTATAGTAGTCGGTTATTTATTAGCAAGGATTTTTGGTAAAACGTACACCCGCAAAACCCTAGGCGGGTTATAAATGGACCATTTGGTCCGATATGATTCGGCCAACAAAAACTCGTCCTTATATAATGATGATTTATCTCGTTTTATTTATTTATATTGACATTGGTATGCATATATTTATAGCTATGCATATATATTGGGAGTCAAAACTTCGGATCGGTCCATTTGCCTGATACTATATATGAATGTGATAGCTTAATGTCGAAGCATTCAGAACAACTTCATTAACTTATGCTTAAATTGAGATTAAATTAAGCCTTTAAAAAGCAACAGCAAATTTCGTTTAAAAATTTCACAGCATTCAGAACAACTTAAGGATAAAGCATTGCAAAAAAAATAACAAAAAATCTGATTCACACACTGCAGTTTTGAAAAATATTTCAAAGGTGCAAAAACTCGATTTATAGAACAATAACTTCTAACAGATTTTGTATATTTTGCAATTCCGCCAACACCGAAAATATTTTCACGCACAGGCTATAAATATATATACGCCTTTATCAAAAGCACAGCAAAAGCTATTGTTAAGGTAAAGTAAAATATTGCCGAACCGCCGGCCAGGCTGTGGCTGCTCCTGCGATTGACATAAATGAAGTTTAACGAAGGGTGAATTTACAATACAAATATATAAAATATAATATTTGTATGTATTTAGGTTTGCATATGTACTTATGTACCACCAAATTTTATTATGCATACATGTGTTTTCTGTAGCATACTTACAGGCGTTCCTATGAATGTGTTGCCGTGCATTTGCCTGCTAAATGCGTTTTACTTACGCACAATGCAGGGATGAATTGCACAACCGTTATATGCGCAAATAGAAAAACAACATTTTCAGAATATCTTACGTTTGCAAAAAAAACCCTCATATTTTTATATTAAGAATTTTCATTATATATTAAATTAATTTAATTGCTATTTTTATTAGGTATATTGCTTATAATTTCATTTTAAAATTTTTAGTGTATTTTATATTTCCAATATTATTTTTATATTTTTATAACTCCACTTTAATATTTTCAACAACTTTCATTCACAAATAAATCCCTGAAGCGAATATCCTCTTAATTGTATAAAACTTATATTATTCCAAGCACAGCATAGCTTTACACACAAACAGCCATGCGTGGTCTATTTTAAGCTTAAATCAAGAGTTACAGAAATAACCGTATGGCAAAAATCAACCAATTCCAATTTCCGCTACAGCGCTGTCAATAGTTTCTCGGGCACTTACACGCTTGTTGAATACACAGACCCACCCTTACAATTGCAAAAGTACGAAAATTGTAAATACTCGTATGTGACTACAATGCCTAAACGGAGTGTCAGCATGAGCTCGTCCAGCTACAAGTTTTGCTTTTTAGACACCAATGTGTATACGAGGGAAGGTCAGAAAATTAATATCTTTAAAATGGTACTCTGAAGAGACGATTTAATTATTTTTTTCAACAAATGAGTTTTCGTATTTATGCCGATTATTTTTGTCATTCTGTTATAAAATTCATAAGAAAAAAAATTTCCAAAAAATAATTAAATTTTAATTGTTAACAACTTTTTAATGGTTAGGTTTACGAAAAACTCGTAAAAAACTTTTTTGTAGAACATTCAATTTGCTATAAAATATAAGAAACGAAATATTTTTCAAAGAATTAGAGCGAGATTCGATTTATAAGAAAACTACTAAGGAACAATGAGAAAACTGTAAGACGGAGGAGCTTCCCGTTACATTTAAAAGCCCAGCGAAAAATATATTTGTTCTTTTTTCGCCCATCCTAGTTTATACCCTTGAATGCCATAAGCCTTTCCACTTTCCACGGTCACTTTCTGGCCATTGATTGACCGTTAAATGACAGCGTAATGGGCATAGTAGACAAGCTAGATTGAAGAGAGAGCCGACAGGATTACTTGACGCATTATGACTATTTCAGAGTATGGCAAATATTGTGTGTATGTTTGTATATATATAGTATATGTATGTGGATATGAGTATTTAGGTAAATATGATCTTAGTCATATTACTTTTGGTTTTGTTTCGCATTCTATAAGGAATATTTAAGAAAACTATCAAAACTATTTAATAAAACAATAAGCAGCAAAATCTTCCATAAAGTATAGTGTGGTAAATCTTGAGACTTTCAGAATCGAAAGGCATGACTTTCGAAAATTAAGTCTTATTTACTATATATTTAAATATAATATATTTTATATATTTAATTATATATGTATATTTTATTATATTTTATTTTTTTCAAATATAAAATAAACTACAAATTTACTCGCCACTCAACCTTACTTAAACTCAAATTCTCTCCCTACCCACCAATAGAGCTACTCCGCGCTTTGAACGCCGAAACTGCCATCAACGGCCAGGAGCTCGGCACGCTACCCGAAGAACCCGATTACGCTGACACTGTGTTTAACGAACTGGAAGTGGCAAACAAATATGAGATGTTACACAAATTGGAGAAAGATTTGCGCGCGGAACAGGAAATTGTTACTAAATCAGCTTTGTTAATGAAAATGCTCGAGGATCCGAACATACAAACGCTGCCGGTCATTTACGTAGAGGAGGACGACGATGACGAACCATCTGACGAGGACGCCGAATTGAACAGCAATAATGTGGCATTTCGCTTGGGCGGCATGGGCGCTGGTGTAGCAAAGCGCTCGCGCTACTATCGCCGCTATCCATGGAAGCGGCACAATAGGAATCGCAGGTGAGGCAGAGTGGGCGAGCAATTGAGAAATTAGCGTTTGAAAAACTAAGCTTTTATTTACGCATTTCTTGTGCATTTCTGTTTTATCTTTTTAGCACTTACGAGCCAGAGCTGCGTTATGCCTGCACGCCCACCAAAGAGGACGTCTTCAAGCTGTTGATGAACCTGCATGAAAATCGCAAAGGCAATCACAGCAAAACTGTAAACTTCTGCAATCGCAAGCGGCCAGCCAAAGCCATTTTCACCAACATACGTTTTCTGGGTTAAGCTGACCAGCGACGCTGCTAAGCAAACATATTTAAAGAGGCAACGGAATAGGAACTAGAAATACTATAAAACGATGTCGACATGAAACGGAAATCAGAATATGGCGGAAGAAATGAGGAATACTGTGTACATGCGCGGCACTTGGCTCGAAGCAATTGTTTACAGAAATTAGCGTAGCTTTTTAACACATAATTCGCAATCAAAATTCTATATGTACTAATAAATTGAAGTAAAGTAAACTCAGTAAATCTAAAAAAAGAAAACTAAAAACTTGTAAAATATGCATAAAAATTAATTTGGAGAAATAAAAGAATTGTAGGCCCTTAAGCAGCTATCTAGCGTAACTTTTTCTGAATTTAACATTTACAAAAAGCATATATATATATTATTAACCGTATTTTATATAGTTATACGAGAAATGGCAGCTAAGCACAGCATTGTTAGCATACAAATATTTTATTCACAAAACTAAATTATAGTTGCATTACTATTGCAACAAAAATATGTATATAATAAATAATGTTTGAAAAAAAAATAAATAAATATGTTAGTAGTTTGCAAAGCACTCACCAAGATGCAGTAAAACACAAGGCACTTTCAGCAAGTAGCAGGGGCTTGCTTTTTGTTTGTGCTTTTAGTCTGTAGGACTTTACAATGTCTGGCGTATGATTTTGGAATTTTAAAAAAATAAAACAAAATTAAAATATAAACTAAATCGCAACAAAACTGCAACACTGCTGCTACTAACTTAATTATTTCAAATAAAAAATATTTTTAAAAAATTCGAAAATTCGAAAAAATATTTACTTTGAGAAATAAAGCTATGTAATATCAACGTAGCTCTTAGTTGTCCGCAAAGCAAACTGAATTTAATTTTACCAAACTTATCAATGAATATAAAATGGCAGCCACAAAGAAATCATTAGCCCACATATGCAACCCTTACCCTCTAAACGTGTGTACATGTGAACGGTATCATATAGATTACATTTTGCTTCTTAAAACCTAGCCTAAACATACACAATTGAATTTTGTGCACATATTTAACATATTACGCAGGCATTTGCTATTGTATATAATATCCAGTACCATAATATATGTGTGTATCATAAATAATTGCAAATTAAATAAAAAAAAAACAAACCCTTAAGCGCACGAAAGGAAGTAATTTAATTTTAAACTCAATGCAAAATTGTACATAGCTTGATACCATTTACTAACGTACATACCTTGATACCTTATAGACACGCATATACATATATATAGCCGAATACTTTTGTTTATTTGTATATAGTTGTGACTCTGGTTTGTTTACTTGTGCACACATACTTATGCACACGAGTAAGTATATAAATATGTATATACACTAAGCATTTAATCACTAGTTATTTACGGTTGCAAAATAATAAAAAAAATATACATTACAAATATACATACATACATACATGAACACTATTGTTCGACCAAAGCATGAGTTGTTCCTTTAAAACATACATAAAGAAAATATAATATATGAAAGTCAATGAATTGCATATATGCACTTGTATGCATGTACATAGCAAGCATGAAAAGTAATTATGTAAGACATACATATGTATTAATAAAGTTAATAACTAATTTTAATAAACTGGACTAATGACTCTTATTAGTCCGTTGAAACTCAATGTTGAATGCTTTATTGATTATTTTTATAGGTAATGAATGTCTAGGAATAAAAAAGTCAAATATTTCGCCAGTCGTTTGGAAAGGATATATTACAACGGTAATTTAGACGTGTTGTTTTCAATAAGGCAATACATTTTTCATAGTTGGATTTGTTAACAGCTAATGTAATGGGTATACTTACTTCGGAACAACGTTTGCAAATCGTGCATATTTACTCACCAAAATATTATTCGGTCGACATAGGAGGACCAAAAGAAAGAGCAGAGCACTTTTGGCCAAGGTTAGCCAATCAATCTCAATGTATGCCGCGTCTGTATTTAGGCCAGCATTAATGCAAAAAACATATGCAAGAATGGCAAAATCAGTGTTTCGGCTAAGTGCAATGAGAGCTTTTAGCGCATTCTGCACGCTGTCATGAAGCCGCTAGCATTATATCTGGGATAATGTCGCCAGATATAACGGCTTGAGAACTGAAGAGGATTTATGACAAAAGTTAAATTATAGATAGGAATTTGACAATGCGTAAAGAGGAAAAACAAGTCAGCATACAGGAATAAAAAATCCTTGAGACACAGCAGCAAAGTGAGATCGATGCAACGATTAATCGGGAATCTGCAAATATGGATGGAAGGAAAACATGACAAGATAGAGTTTTACATGACACAGTTTCTAACAGGACCCGAATGATTCAAAGAGAATCTGCATAAGTATGGTGCTGACACTGAAGATACTTGCAGTTTCGGTAGAAGTAGGGCAGGGTCTGGAGATGGAAGTGGCAAGCCGAATTACACCTAATAATAAAGAATTATATACTCCAAACGAGGTAAAAGAGATAAGTATGGTATACCATGAAGGGGACGGCAACTCTTATACTGCAAGAAGCAGTGAAGCTAGAGCCTTGAATAGCCAGCTAATGACGAGAGCCAATAGGCTAAGCTAGCCCTGCGATGTAATGATGCTTAGTAGAAACCCCATTTGGCCTTTTTACAAAACTACAGATGGCGGAGTTGAATTTTTAGTACGTAAGCGTATTGTTTTGCAAGTCAAATATAGTTAGATAATACTGATTAGGCGTAATCCCAAATGAGATGTACGTTTAGCGAGCTCTCTTTCGAAAACAAAAAAAAAAAAATTAATAAATAAAAATCAGTAGAGTTGGTAAATTGAACAAGCATGAATCGGTTTCACACCACACCACCACAGTGCACACCGGAGACGCTATTGCTGCTATAGAGAAGTCTCAAATGAGTCCAGCAGCCATCGAGCGCAATAATTGAGCTGTGCTCATCCACCTTATGGAAGGTTTTGCGAAAGGGTCTTCGTATGCGGACTTAAAAAATCCAAATCGTGCTGGAATTGAAGCCGAGCGACCATCAAGCGCGTGATTATTTACGATTCTAACGATTAAAGTCCACGTCGCCAAATCTCCATAGAACTTTTCAAAAATGTATCCTGCTTTTTTGAAATTTTTCTTCATAGAACTTTTTTCACATATCATGAGATATATCGTGGAGTGTATAAACAAATTTTTTTCGGAATTTTTTGATGACATCTGTCGGAGAAATGGCTGGGTGCATGAGATTCGTTTTTTCACTGGCGGACACCATTACTCACGCTTAGATCATCTGAAACACAAAAACCCAATTTATTCTTAAAAATTACGTGAATGGTTGACGTCCTTCATGGAACCTTAAAAAATGTTTGATAAATAAAAAAGTAATTAAAGTTCTTTTTTTTTTTAATTTTTCCCATTATTATATTTGGGCCTTTTTCGAAGCCTTTCAATGGTAAAGTGGATTTCTACATTAATTCTAAGGGTATAAGGGAATATAAAATGCAAAAAAAAAAACATTTTTTTTTTGTTTTAAGATTACCCTACTGACCCCTTAAGATGTTGTGGAAGCTCTCTACATAGAAAATACGTCGAAATTTGGTTCATAGTCGCCTGATTCGAAGTTCAGCATTAATTTTTGACCAACATTAAAGTTGTTTTCGCATTTACTACTCAGTAGGTAAGACCTCTTAATTCTGCCAAATTTATTATAAACTAAAAAGTTAAGGTGCATGGCAAAATAGAGAGAGTTAGAAATAAACTCCCACTGTAATGTATCTATTAGACAATTCCTACAAGAGATATTTGGTACCAAACAACGACATGATTAGAGTTATGATCCTTGTCTCAAAACTTCTGGCGACTGCTTTTGTCTTAAAAGCATAAAAAAATTTCGCTGAATATACCGAAGTATATACATAGTGTTGACGACCAAAACCGATTGTTGCCAAAAAAATTTGTTTATCTTTCAGATATAAGGAAAAAAAAGATCATTTATCAGTTTAAAGACAAAATCATGCCATTATTGAATAGTGTTTTCCACAATTAGCGCCAATATTGTAAAATTGAAAAAACAGCTCATTGCGTTTTTTGAGTAAAAAAATATATCTACATACACTACATGTGTGGCAGACAATATCAATAAGGTATGTAGTATACCAGTAGTTCAAAGAACTAGTTGCACATTATATGATACCTGTTATTAACTTCAAAATCATTCGATCAGTCAAGTGTTTTCCCCTTGAAAATAACTTTTTTTTTTTTAATTGGTTAGGAATTTGCTAGTCTCATACTAGTTCAAAATATAGAAAATATAATTCAGTTAAGCTACAAAACAACAAGTTTCAGTTTGTGTATTCTTAAATCTCTTACAAAACGAAAACTATTTATTAGGAAATATTTTTACACATACAGATACGAGTAAGCTCTTTTTTTAACTACTTTATTTGAAGTCCGAAAGTATTAGTTACAGAGTAGTATTTGTCATACCAGTTTGATATATTGCTGTAGGAAACTTATGAGAGACGCCACTCATAAACATAATTTTGTATGTAAACAAATATGTAAATCGGTGCCACAGTACCGAAAAGTCAAGGTGTTCTTAGCACACAGACAGTTGTTAATCTTTTTATGTCGCAACTTCTAATTTTCCACAAAAACATTACAACATACTCACACAAAGGCGAATATACCTACATTTCAACGTCTATAAATAAAACCTTATTCACAAAATAATGTCATAAAATCAACAAAACAGTTAACTTGTATTTATGTCGTATATGCCAGCTAACACGTAGCGCCAAATAAAAAGTGAAGTGATGTGAGTTCGAGAGTTCGCGATGAAAGATCATCTTTGAAGGTGCGGCAAAGAGAGTAAAGAGATAATTAATACATGGCACCAATTTCACTTTCGTTTGAGGCGATATACATACATACATAATAGATTTCGAAGTTAATGTTAACATACATATATGTACTGATATACATATTGCCACTACAACGCCGAACCCAGTTGCTCACATGTACGTTATGAATTTGGGAGTGTGTATTTTAAATACACAGTCGCTCGTTTCTATATAAATCTCTGTGTAGGTGTTTGCATAAGCACAGCTGATGCTTTAGCGTCTTTATCTGTTACCAACACCGCTGGCGAGCTTCACACATTGGCGCGATAACAATACAGTAACAACAAAGACAACCTTAAAATACAAACACTTCGAAGGTCTAAATTTATTTGAGTGCGAGCAGCTCGGCGTTTTTATTTCGTTAAACTTACACACTTGTGTACACAGCATAATCTCTTTATTACATAAGAATTCGGGTGTCAATATCGGCATGTGTTTAACCGAAAATGTTGCTGAACCAACTGCGCAACGGTGCATAACAAGTGGGCTTGGTTATCCATAATGTGTCCACGGTCAAGCGTAGCGCATCCATTGTCGTGTAGCTGCAACGATCGCGCACCGTTGCTGACGGCGTTACGCCGTTGCGATCCACATCGTCTGGTTCATCGCTGGCACGTAGACGACCAAACGCCTCGTCGCCATCAAAGTAATAGTATTCTTTGCGCGTCGAATTAGTCTCGACGATGGTCATAGGTTGTTGTGTGCTCGCCGCAGCAATCGAGCTCGAAGTGCGCGCATGGCGATACAGCGGCACTGGCGGCACGCCAAACGGTGGGAATGGGCTTGGCAGGCCGGCCAATGGCTGCTGTGGGACCGGTGGCCAAATTTGTGGCTGTTGTGTTGCCAAGAAGGGATTAACGCTTGGAGTTTGTAGCGGACGATACGGTATCCGATCTGGTAGTATGTGCGTTTGTGGAGATTGCGCAAAGTAAGGTGGCTGCTGATAGGCGGGCAATTGTTGTTGACTAAATATGGTTTGCTGGACAGGATTTTTTATATTTTGATTGTTAATGCCATTTTGTTGACCGACCCCAACATGGACTTGGCTTGGACGTGCAATAGTTGTCGGTGTATCATGTGCTGGGCGTTGCGGCTGTACGAAGGCGGTCTCTTGACATTCCTCTTGGTAAATCTCTAGCAAGAAACCGCTCGATGGTACGCCCGAATAGCCCATACGCATGCGTATCTTTTTATCGCCTAAACCCCAAGGACTTGTGTAAATATAGCCGGTGCGACAGCCGCAAAAGCGTTCACCATTGATTTCGATGAAGTCTTCGGTGCAGACGTCTCTGCTTGTACTGATGGCCACATTGATATTCCCTTGCGTTACGCCAGTGCCCACATAAGTTTGACCAAAATCGAAAAATTTAAATTCTATGCGCAGACGACATATGTTATCCGCATTTTTTTCTAAGCCGAATTGGCAATCACGTTGTTGCGTTGGCAAGAGTGATGTGAATGCAGTGCGCGGAAAGCCCGGGCTGGAGAGATAGAAGCGCTTCTGATGAAAGGATGATGTGCAGCAATGCTGTGTGGGTGCCGTTGTAACGACTCCTTGAGTATTATCGAAAAGCGCACTGCCATCGTCTAAGGCTGGCGGTTGGACGGCACCAAAGGGAGCAACGCCGAACGGTGCGTTAGGTGGTGGCAACGCG